GCGGAGGTTGCAGTGAGCTGAGATCACACCACTGCACTCCAGCCCGGGCAACAGAGCGAGACTCCATCTCCAAAAGAAAAAGAGAAAATGAAAAAGAAAGGGGAGTGGCAGTGGGGAGGGAGGGAAGAAGTGTTCTCCAGGGAAAGACCTGTCTGTGCAAAAGCCCGGAGCTGGGACTCAATGTCCGGGGCAGCTCTGGTCCATTGCTAACTACTTCTGGGCCTGCTTATCCATCTGGATGGGAAACAGGCTCAGAGAGGGGCAGAGTCAATGGAGGACACCAGCGTGTAGGGAACAGTGTCAGCCCCGGATTCCTGCCTCCAGACGATCCTAACCACCACCCTCCCCGCGCCCTTGTCCTACAGTGCCACCTGCCGGGAATGACCTGTCCTCCTTTCACTCTTCCCCCTGGCTCCTCAGCTGCAGTCTCTCCGGCCTCCTCGCTGTTCCTGGGATACGCCACGCTCAGTCCAGACTCGGGGCCTTTGCACTGGCTGTGTCCCCTGCCTGTGATGTCATTCTTCTCTGCCTGGTCAACTCCTACCTTTGTTCAAGTCTGGACCCTGTCATCGGCTCCTCAGGAAGGCACTCCGGGACCCCCAGATGGGGGTGGTTCCCTGTGACTCCTGGCACGGAGCCCAACCCCTTCCTTGTTCAATGGTTCCTTGAGGGACCATTCCCATGTGATTATCGACCATTTGGCAGGCGTTGTTCAAAGTCAAAGGCCCCACACTGAGTCCTGGCCCAGCGCCCTGCGCCTGTTCGTTGCTGGAGGGACAGACAGGGGGCGTGTGGCGGACCATCCTGTGCCCGCAGGCTGAGGATGCAGCGCTGGAAGGCGGCAGCCTTGGCCTCAGTGCTCTGCAGCTCCGTGCTGTCCATCTGGATGTGTCGAGAGGGCCTGCTTCTCAGCCACCGCCTCGGACCCGCGCTGGTCCCACTGCGCCGCCTGCCTCGAACCCTGGACACCCGGATTGCCCGCCTGGCCCAGTGTAAGCTCCTCCTCTGTGTGGGGTCAGATACCCCCAATGTAAGGGGTAGAATTTCAGGCAGTGAAGTGGGAGGTGGCGGGGGTCGTAAGTTTTTAAAAGATAGTGCCAGCCGGCCAGGCGCAGTGGCTCACACCTGTAATCCCAGCACCGTGAGGCGGGCGGA